ATTGTCTCCCAAGTCGATGCTGATCGCCCGTTTTTTTTCAATCCCTTGAAGGCACCTATGGATCCGACGCGACCTCGCCATTGCCACGAAAATCGGCGTGTACCGTGCACCCATCCGGTCAGTTCTCCTCTACAATTGTCAATGCTGGGCGTTTCGCGTGGGAGATGAGCGAAGACTGAAAGGTATTTGACCGCTGTCGTCTCCGAGTGAAGTACACTGACCTCATCTCAAATGAGGCAGTCCGCACTCACTATGAATGTATCGCGCCATCCAGGAAAGAAGACTGAAGTGGTTGGGGTGCTTCCTTCGCCTCACGAGCTCAGTTATACTGCCCTCGATTCGGCGCCGTTGCCCACCTAGAGACGTCAAGGTGAAGTCAACTCAAGACCTGGTTCAATACAATTCATAAAGACATGGAAGTGGTTCTTGGATCCTCGGTTTTCGGTCTTCATCCGGCTAGATCACAGCCGAACCAAGTCCAACTAAGTACTTCATACGTGTAAGGTGCTCATCGGAATGGCGAAAGGTACTAGTATATTACTGTCAGAATAAGTCGCTCGCAAAACCCGTGGGTCGAACTTTCTGCTAAAGACGTATGAAACAACTCTTGAAATAAAAATTAATTTTAAAAGTTACACTCTACAAAGTACGCGTTGTAGGCATAGTTAACGCTATTAAATCTGTCCGGAAAATGCTTTAGGCGGCCACCCCGCTTTTACTGGAACCGTCAATAGGAACTGGTACGCGGTTACTTTGCCTACAAAGTCCGCATGAGAGAGACGGTAAAGATATTGACAAAATTATATCTTGTCCTAATCTGTTGGAATGGAACCTGTTACTGGTGTGTGCTGAGAGGCCGAAGTATATCCTGTGTTCTCACATTAATAATGAAGAGGGTGTCTTCGAAAGTGACCGTCTGGGTTAGGGGGCCGGGTTGCTGCAGCGCTCTTCATACGACAAGTCAACGATGCGAGTTCCCGTGAAACGGAGGGTCAGCAAATGTGGCGCTTTTACACAGGGTCGAATGTCTGATTGGTTGCTGCATCAGCATCCGCCTGCCCGTTGTTTTTTGTAATTGTAGCACGCGAATGTAGAATAGTCGGGTAGTTTATATGCAAGTCTCATTCACTAAAAGACTTTTAAAAGTTTTTTTATTTTCCTTAGAAATTAGTTTATGTGCTCGGTATAGGTCGATTTATTCAGGGGCTATGAGTATTTACCGACACTTTATTGTATACAGGGTATCCCAAAATGTATGCATACTGTAAGTAATTTTAAACTTGATGTTTACTATAATTTTATTATTTAAAAAATGCAAAAGTATTTGCAAGTATAATTTTATTGCTTCTTCACTGCATTTTGACTATATTTTAAATAATTGAGAAAGAAAACATGAATGCGCCCAAATACCAAGGGAATTGTGTCATAGTGTGGACGATTCCATTGCTTCGCGTTGTCAGCAGTGTCTTGATAAAAATTGACGTCAGTTTGAGAACACGCAGTGAAAAACAATCAAATGATACTTTTGAATATTTTCCATTTTTGAAATAATAAACACCAAGTTTACAATTATTTAAAATGTGTATACATTTTTTGGGA